AACTTTATTTCTGGTTCTGTTTATTTTGGTTGCTACGGTTTCATCAGGTTCTCAAAATCCTTCATAATTACCTTGTTTGGCCTTTCTGAATTTTCAGTTGGATCCGTACCACAATTATAAGTGTGAAAACCCACCTTTAAGTCCCTTATCTAAATATACTTTTATCAGAGAGCCCTTCCTGATTCAACTCAAATTGAATCTGGTTAGTTTGAGTCTTGCTTGGTCTTGTTTACTTTGGTCATTTACGATAAAGTTACTTTGGTGTTTCTGGTTCTTTGTATTCTGGTGGGGTCAACTTTAGTTATTTCAGAATGTGTTGTTTGTCAGAGGTTTGTCTGGTTTTCTCTGGGAAAATAGAATACAATAAATGCATTATTATTATTACAAATATACTGTAACGATTAAAACATGTGTGGATGGATTAGCAGATGATTAACCCTTCTCTCTCCCCCTCTTTCTCCCCCCTCTCAGTGTGGAGGGCGACTCTCAGTGTCCGGAGGCGCTCACTTTTTCTGATTCATCCTTCGGCCACCCGCCTCCCTTCCATCGATACAGTAACAGTCCTCTCACCAGCCCCTGTGACCCCTACGGCTCCACCGGCGGGCCCCTGGGAGCCTGCCACACACAGGTACTGACCCTCAAAACACACACATGATAAACAGTCACTACATCTGATCGATTGACATTTCTCACAGGAAGTATCACAATGGCAGAGTAGAACTTAAATCCCATTTCTGCATCAGGGAATTTGATCTTTTGTATCACACTGGTTTCGTTTTGTTTAATTATCAAGGCCCATCACTCCAAGAAACATTATTTCCATGAATTTGAAGATGTTTTTGTGATGAAGCTCTAGATAAGACATTTATTAAACCGTAACATACAGACCCTACGAACCAAGCAAACTCACTACTGGAGTTATTCCTTAGTGGCAAGCATATAATGACTTTGTTAAAATATGGTGAATTCAAAGGAGTAACATGTTAAAGTTTAACATCTAGTGGCTTGTTTACAGGGCTGCATGCTAACTGTTAGCCGGGCAGTGGGCCTAACTTTGTGTTAGAGGTTGTAATGGAGGTCAGCAGCTCGTTACAGATGTTGAAAGTAATTAAGAACATGTAGTAGGCTGAGGTTTTATGGAGCCTAATGGGACAGTTAAACCCAAAATCAAACACATATTTTTCTTCTTACCTGTAGTGCCATCAGATTGTTTTGGTGTGAGTTCCCGAGTGTTGGAGATATTTGTCTTACAAACGTCTGCTTTGCCTCTTGACTATATTGGTATTAGATAGTGCTTTGCTTTTGCTGCTCAGAGCATTAAAAGAAAACTTCTGATAATCTACCAAACACACCTTGTGGTTTCAGATTGTAGGAAATATGTTCTAGTCCATGACTTTCTTCTACACTATGATGGATGCAAAGACAATAGTTCCTACCTGAATCTGTGGATTATCTTGGGTAACTAGTTTAAGCATATTGGTGAAAAAGCATTACAATGTAGGATTGATAAACTGCACGACAGTGAAGTGGAAAACATGTATTTTAAATGTTTCTTTTGGGGCTGAACTTTCCCGTTAACTTGGGTTTTTGCTGTTTTTACTTGATACCTATTTAACTACATCATTCTGGAATTAATATTAACAACCTGTCTCCCTCTCTCCCCCCCTTCCTCCCCCAGGGAAGCTCTCCCGTCTCTCCCCCCAGCCCGGCGAGCCTTGCCTGGGCTCAGCACAGCCGAAACCAGCCGGCCAGCCTGGCGCTCCGCAAGCAAGAGGAGGAGGAGAGCAAACGCTGCAAGGCTCTATCCGACAGCTATGAGCTCTCTACAGACCTCCAGGACAAGCAGGTACTGTTCAGGGACATCTACAGGAAGTGCACAAAGGAATCATTAAAGGTCACCTATTATACAAAATCCACTTCTTCATGTCTCTTCTACATCAACATGTGTCCCCTCTTCTTCATGTCTCTTCTACATCAACATGTGTCCCCTCTTCTTCATGTCTCTTCTACATCAACATGTGTCCCCTCTTCTTCATGTCTCTTCTACATCAACATGTGTCCCCTCTTCTTCATGTCTCTTCTACATCAACATGTGTCCCCTCTTCTTCATGTCTCTTCTACATCAACATGTGTCCCCTCTTCTTCATGTCTCTTCTACATCAACATGTGTCCCCTCTTCTTCATGTCTCTTCTACATCAACATGTGTNGTAATGGAAGGCAACTGTGCTGTGACGGTAATAGCATCAAGTGTGTGTGTGTGTGTGTGTGTGTGTGTGTGTGTGTGTGTGTGTGTGTGTGTGTGTGTGTGTGTGTGTGTGTGTGTGTGTGTGTGTGTGTGTGTGTGTGTGCGCATGCACCCAGAGAGAGAGTGAGGAGGCCCAGAGTTAATGAGACAGGAGGCTGAGCGCTAGACGTGTCTCCACCAGTTGTTTATCAGAGCAGAGCACTCGGCTCAGATTAAACTACAACTACTTTATAATTACTCTAATGTATTCTTATTGGACGATGTCTTTCCTAATAAAGACTCCAATAATTGACTTTCTCCCTGCCTCCTCCTGCTCCTGCCCTCCCTCTGAAACACTCACTATTGATCTCATTAATTTATATTACATTCTCATTAGCCCTGAACAGTAGTTCATTTTACACCAGCAAGATGGTGGCTGTGTAATGGTGAAAGCAGCGTTATTACTAAATAACAACAGATTGGTGTAATCACTACTGTGTGAACATGCCATCAGCCATGATTAATTAAATATGGGATAACTATTTGTATTCATTACCTGTTTTGATTCCCCTAAAACACTGATTTTCAATGCAGGATACAAAACTTTAAGATGAGTTGTGTGGAAATCAAACCTCTTCCGGTTTTATTTGCCATTCATGATGTGAGAGGTGTGTGTATTCATGGATAAGATTCCTTTTTTATCTGAAGTGAAATCAGTTGTCTACCCTCAAACGGTATTTTCATGATGATGCTTCCCTGACAGTGGACCTCTCTCAAAAAAATGTTGCATGCTAATTACTGGCAGTGCACAACATTGCCAAAAGTATGTATCTGTAAAATCAGTCTGAAAACTAATCGAGACCATAAATTGCTACTCTGCGCCGTTGAAGCTACACATGGATAGATTTAACAATGGTGAATCTTTCTTATCAGTGTAAATCACAAAGTAGGACAGCAGCAGCTCTGAAAATGACTCATTGGAGAAATAGGGTTAGCACTTTAACTATAAAGCTATTAATGCGCATGTGAACAGAAGTTCTCGCCATAAGGTGGTCTAGGAATAATTCCTAAAACCCAGGTATGAGTTAGCAACACTTCCTGTTTCCACGTCTCGAAGTCAATCTTTTTTGAAGCTGTCCGACTTACGACAACATTAGCGGCCTTTAGCTTAGCGCTGTTTTCGTGAAGCCATGTCACCGTTAAGCATTTTCTTTGTAACCTTATATGCGGAGATTATCCCGTTTGATCAAAAGCAAATGGGGAAATCCAAAAGCCTTTTGTTTATGGATCTTTAGGTACGTCATCCGTATTTAGGAAGGTGTGTTTTTTTATAGGCTTGCTACAATATCGGCAAAGCATTTCAGATATTTAGGGAATAGTTAGGAATGTATTTTCTTACATGTCTGAAATAGGTTTAAAGGTCCAGATTGTGGAGTGTTTATCTGTGGAAATGCACTGTGGCTGTGACATTTCATTTGGAAACCACGGTGTCTGGGACGGATGTGATTAAAAAAAAAGCGAGATAAAGTCCTTCACACAGAAAACCATTTTAAAACCCCAGAGGTAGTTCATAATTAGATCAAACAAACCTCTGGCACTGGACGTGTTTCCTGTGAATTTGTCCAATTCTGTGTGGCGTGTAGGAATTTAGCTCTCTGGACTAAAAAACAAATATAAATATATATTCATGCATATCTTTGTCCTTATTAACATCAATCTACATCAGAGGTGTGATTTTACTGTAATACTAATCAGCAGTTATAGCATGCGATCACTAGATGGCAAGATTGAGGTTGAAATGGTTGATCTGCTGCCTGGAATATTGAAAGTTGCATTATTGTATGATTATGGTGCAATCAGGTACAATTCAATGGCTGAAGAATATGAAAACACGCCCCCGTGCATGAGTAAGAAGTAGAAGAGGGTCCTGTGTCCAATTTCTTAAAGTAAAGTGACTTGTGAGCCACATTTTCACATGAACTGCCGTTTGCAATAACAAACTTGAATGTATTGAAGTCCTGCGTCACTACAGATACAGTCAGTCACCACTTTGGACAGCTTGCTTTTTGGGTGGTTAATCAGATATGTACAGATCAGCAAGTTGATTGGTGAGTTCCTCATTGTTTCTAAGAAATAGAGGAAGTGTTATTTTCTTTTAACGTCTTTAGAGAAATAATTCATTCTAGTCTTCCCAATTTGTCTGGGCGCACGCCAAACTTACGGGAAAGTATAGCAACAGTTCCTCATTGAATAACTGTTTTTATTTAAATGAAAAAGAAAACGCGCGCATGATCAGGCAAGAAATGGAGGTCATGTGATTGTTTTAAGACCCTTGTTGCAACTCCACCTTACAGTTAATACTGTACAACGCCCATATTTTTTAAAACCGAGGTGTTGAGTATTGTAATGGACAATTGTTGAGAAACGAAGTTGCAGCAGTACAAATGAGGAATTGGTCACGTTATTATCTGAACTCATGATCAACTTTTCTCTGAGTGAGGCGTTAAAGTTGCTTGTTAGTAGGAAGTCATAGAGCAAGACAGCGAGAGAGACAGACATGATTGTTTTTAATGTTTTACTGATAGTGACATGTCAATAAAGCTTCTTAGATTGTGATGGATCAGATAGATAGAGTCAGCTTTGAACAACAAGTAGTGACAATAAATAATATAACTAATTCCCCAGTAAATAACACTAGATGTTTTTGCATGCATGCTTCTGGCCTTTAAATGTCCTTTACATTGTCATCCATGCCGTTACGTTTTTTTCTCCCTCATGACTCAAAGGCATCACGCCAAGATCGCCAACAGACTGCAACATGGCTCACGATCCGAGACAAGTAAACATCTGGATCCGTCAGAAAACATTCAGACTTTTCGGCCATATTGAGATGACAAGTGTGACTATAGCATGAATGTGATGCGTTTGCTGTTATATGTAAAGTCCATGTGGCATGTGTCACACTTATCTTGTGTTTAAATGTCATTTTAAGATGTGTTTCTGTTTGACTGTATCTT